TGGGATGACTTCTTGAGGAAGGGAAGACTCCTATCTCCCACTCAGCCCTCAGTGTTGTTTTCCATGTGGTCCTGGCCTCGCCCTGTCTGCATTTGCACTTGCGGTTCAGAATTGTAATCAGTAACTCACAACATTGATTGTAAGCTATGAATAAAGAGTTAACACATCCTATGAGTGCTGGTAAGTACGCATTTAGGAAAGATTTCCAAATTTTCTGAATTTAAAGAGACAAACATTTATTATATGACAAATTTACCCAGAATCTCTGCTACTCCTCTCTCTTTCTTTGCCTCCCCCTTTCAGGTGGTAGCAGGAAAGAGTGCATTAACATTTCTTTTCTTTGATTAAACGTTCAGGAAAAATATTCAAGCTTTTGATTTTTTTTCCCCCAAAGCAATTATTAGAGATAAAGTTTCTATATGTTATGATCTCAGTAAGTGGCTTATTAGTTTATCTTTAATGAAGACTTAAATTCTCTAATAATAACAATTACTGACTTTATTCTAAGCGATCCCAAGAAATTAAAATTTTCTTTTTCTCAGAGGAATGAATTTTTAAGTCCTGTCATATTTAATCAGGTTTTTTTTTCTATTTACTAAGTTTTCCCATATAGTAACCTAATGAAATTTTATAATTTTCTCTTTATTTAAAACAAAATGAGCTATAATTATCCCATTTTTCAGCTTTTAAAAAACTTTTAGGCCGAGGCTGTGGGTTCAGTCCCTGGTCAGGACCCACAAGAATCAACCAATGAATCTATAAATAAGTAGAATAACAAATCAGTGTTTTTTTTCTCTCTCTTCCTCTCTCTCAAATCAATAATTTAAAAAATTAAGGAAAAAAACCTCTTAATAAAACATTTTTGTTTTTTCAAACATTAATTCCTCTGGGCTAAATTGTGTTCTTCTAATGTACAGTATGTAAGCCTTGTTATCCAATCTATATATTCATAAAATTGTAGGATTTTTTTATACCTTGAAGGACCTTAGTAATTATTTAATTCAGTTCCATTCTAATATAAGTGATAAAACATCTGCAAAAATCGATCTGTCCTGGGTCATTTAATCTCTATAATAACTCAAAACCATACCACTAAACTGAAATTCAGTATTCTTTCTGTACTACTGTACTGTGTTCTATGTACTGTGTTCTCCAGTTTAAATTCTTTTTCTTTATTAATTTGATCCCCAAAGTAGAAATAGAGACTAAATAAGGTAGGGGAAAGCAGTTGTATTATAATGTATAATGTAATATAATGTATTAGCTTATATAACCCTAAAAATGCTCTGGCCTGGACCTAGATGCTTAACAGATGTCAGGAGTCTCTCTCAACTCTCTCCTTTCCTCTGAATATACTTTATTTTCAGGCAGGCTCTCTGTAATATAATGGCAAAGTATGACTTCCAGTAGTTCTTAGCTTTGTATTCTGTCTGTTTTAACAACTGCAATGGGAAGAAAGCTACAATTTGAGCAAAAATTTCTAGATTAGGTTCTGATTTGACTGGATTAGGGTTTCTAGATTAGGTTCTGATTTAACTGGATTAGGGTTTGTGCCCATTCCTTGACCAAACATTCTGGCCGGAGACATGCGGCATACTGAAGCTGAAGAGTAGGGCCCACCTCCCATGCCCCAAACCATAGGGAGAATGATAGCTTCCCAAAGGGGAAAGGATGCTGTGTGGAGAGAAAAACGGCAGTGTCTGCTTCATATTTGTCTCTAGGATTCTGCAGTTCATGCACCACTATATGATAATGTATTATATTTTAATTAGTTGCATAGAGTTAAAGCACTATGATAGTCTAAACTTCAGAGATTCTTCATAGATAGGAAAAATAAGAGCTCAAAGAGGTTAGTAGGTGTGCTATTAGTAAAACCCAGGACATGGGAGTAAAAAGCTTTAGAATTGGCCCTGGCCAGGAAGCTCATTTGGTTGGAGTGTTGTCCCATACACCAAAAAGGTTGTTGGTTCAGTTTCCAATTGGGGCACATACCTAGGTTGAGAGTTCAATTCCGGTTGGGTACAGGAGGCAACCCATGAATGTTTCTCTCACTCTCTCTCTCTCAAAAATCAATTAACATATGCATGGGTTAGGATTTAAAAAAAAGTTTTAGAATTCAATTCATATATAGGTTCACATGCAGGTTTTGAACAAAATAATTATTGTGTACTGGGATTGTTTATTTCTCCTTAAAATAAGATGTGATAGAATCAGTCTGGTGAAGTTGTAGTGGTGTTAGGAATGTATGTAAAATGTTTGGCACATATTTTAATATACAATAACTACTGTTATATGTTGTCATTGTAATAATAACTATTTCTAAGAGCCATATTTCTTCCTTTGTTGATTTACTTTCCTGTAATAATCTTATTGTGATCATTCTGAAGTGTAGCTTTCCAAGTGACAAGCAAACATTACATGTTAAATTATCTACATTACTTCTGAGTTTAGAAGAGCCAGTAAAAAGTTTACTGAAGTAGAAAATTACTTTTTAAACTGGGAAATCTAGTTTGTGAATTCATCATAGAGAAGATGATCTGAGAGTATTGATGCACAGAATATGAACAAAACATTGCATATCTTGTATTGTGGTATCTAAGTGATAATCTGGTCTGGTAATATTCTAGATTTGAAAGATGTGTATAACCTATACTTTTAAGTCTCTTTTTTTAAAGTGATTAATCATATATAGAGATTTACATAAAACAACTCAGGTTAAAAAAATAGTTTATTAAAATACATCAGGCAAATGTAAATTTCAAAAGCAGATGACAGAATATCAATATCAAAGTACATTTACATCCGAAATGTATAAAACTGGATCAAGAATGCTATTTTATATTAACACAGAATGTACTCCACAATGAAGACCTAGAAGTTAAACACTTTTATGTGTTAAACATAACATCACAATATATTAAGCAAAAGCTAGAAGAAATGAAGAAAAAAAATGGTAGAAAAGCATCTAAAGCCCTGGCTGGTGTGGCTCAGTTGGTTGGAGTGTTGTTCCATACACCAAAAGGTGGCAGGTTGCCTTCAGGAGGCACCCTATCAATGTTTCTCTCTCACGTCGATACTGATGTTTCAGTGTCTCTCTCCCCATCCTTTCCTTTCTCAAACATCAGTTTTTTAAAAAAAGAAGCACCTATAGTAGTAGCATTTTTCAATATACTTTAAGATCAAAAGGTACAAAATAAGATGTATAAATAGCTCGATCAATATAATAATAGCCCATAAAATGCATTTTTGTTGTTATTAAAAGTTACCAAGATTAATAATTAATTATGCCAACTGCAAAGAAAATCTTACCTCCAAGTAGAAATATATAAATCCCATTCCTTGATTACAATTCAGTAGAATTAGAAGTTGAAAAACAAAAAAAGTTTAATCCAACTAAATCAAACATTTGAAATTTAAAAACACTTAAATACTTTTGGGTCATTGAGCAAATACAAATTCATATTAGAGATTATTATAATAACAAGTAGAGAGGAATTAATAAGGATGAAAATATAAATGTGACAGTGAACAGTAAACCATCTTAAATAATCTAAACACATTGTATGAAAATGCCAGTAAAATTCAATATATCTTCTAAAGCCAATCAAAGGAAAAAGTGAAGAGAAGGAAAACAAAACATAGATGTTGAATTTGAGAAAGGAGTTATAACTACAGTGTAGAGGTGAAATTGAAAATTATATTCAAGTCTATGTTAATTAATTTGAAAATTTCAATAGGAAAGAGACAATTTTCAATAAAAATGTTATAAATGCTTCAAGATGAAATACAAAGTCTGAGTAGGCCATCTAAGAATAAAATTGTGTAGGAGCCCTAAGTACCTGGTCTGAATTGCATTTCAGGTGACTGCTCTTAAACCTGGAAGATTCAAATAATTATATTATCTTACTTAGAAAATATGTAAAACTTCCTAGGTGACTGCTTGCATAGTCCTTCTATCTTAATCTGGTAGAGTTAGCTTATTACAAAGTCCAGAAAGTATAATATGGGGGAATTGAAATACTTCCATTTAGCCAAAAGTAAGAGTACATACAAGGGAGTGGTAAGAGGTATTCTCACTGGTTTCCTCTTACTCTCATCACTTTCTATACAACTATGCTTAAAACATAGTTAAGTCTCCAGTATTATCATTGACATCACAGTAAATTTTTCTGAAGTCACATTGTGTAATGGGAAAAGAAACCTTAGATAAATGCCCTAATACCTCATTTATTCAGCATCATTAGTGAATGCATTTCTGTACACAAAAGATTTTTTCTTTAGATAAATCAGGATCACCTTTTAAATAACACATGAAATATATATATACTAGCATTTATAATACTTAAATTTTCTAAAACATGTATTTCCTGGTTTCTTCATCAAAGAGATGTATGTAGATCAGGGACTATTCTAAGTACCTGTGTTACTGGATTATCGCATACATTTATGTCAGTTATGTACTACTGTTTTTTAAGGCCAGCATCACTTTTTGTTGCTGCTATTTTTGCCTCCCAATGGCTGTATATCTTTGTCTAGTTTGCTGATTCAAATATGTTATTGCCTTGAAAATAAGTAACCAAGTTTGTGAAGAATTGTGTGTTTAATAAGAGTCCATAAATCCTTGTTGGGAGCCCTGTGTATAAAGAGCCACAGCTGTAGTGCAGAGGCTTTGGACATTTATTTTGGATATGTAGTGGCCTTTGCTTATTAGGTTCATGGGTCAGAGCATTGTTGTGACCATTGAATAAATGGGGGTGTTATGATGTTATAATTGTATTTTAAGGGAGAAAAGTTATTCTGATATTTTCTTTTGTATTGATATTGCTCTGATTTACTCTGTTCTTGAACTGGATTTAAATAACAATCATTTAAGGTCAAGTTTCTAATGTATGTATGTTCTTCAATGGGTACATATAGCCCAGTTACCACAAAATTTAAGTGAAGTAACTGTAATGAAACTTTTCTTTTGAATTTGGCTTTTTTCTTTTTCTGTCCACCAGGGAGTAACTATTCCCAGTCAGAGGCGCTATGTGTATTACTATAGCTACCTGTTAAAGAATCATCTGGATTATAGACCAGTGGCACTGTTGTTTCACAAGATGATGTTTGAAACTATTCCAATGTTCAGTGGCGGAACCTGCAGTAAGTTCTCTAAATTCTCATTCTTCCATGTATTGGAACACATTTCTCAACATTATAGAAGTTTATATAAAAATTTAGAGATAAATTTATTATGCTTAAAATTTATGCGGGAGTGGATATATTTCTGAAGCATTCATACTGATTAATTAGCTCAGTTGTTTAGTGCATTGGGCTAAGGAAGCCAAGAGCAATGTGTTTTAATGTCTTTGAAGCCAAATTATATTTATAAAAGAAATATTCTGTGCTGCATTTACCAAATGGCGCCTAAATTCTGATTAGATGGCTAAAAAACCTGTCCCATCACATCCAGCATGAGAGTAGCAGTGGGATTCATCAGTTTACTGGAGTTAAGGCAGGGACCAATTCCTTCATACTTTTTTTTTTTTTATTCCTCACCCAAGGATACTTTTCCATTTATCATCAGACAGAGTAGGAAGGAGGGAGAGAGAGGAGACAGAGAGAAACATAAATGTGATAGAGCCACATTGACCTGTTGCCTCCCACACGACCTGACCAGGGCCGGGGACAAATCGCAACCAAGGTACGTGCCTCCGACTGGAATCAAACCCGTGACTCATTGGTCTGTGGGCTGACTCTCTTAAGAGCTGAGCCAAACCAACCAGGGCCAGTTCCTTCATATTTTAAGGGAAGAGTAGATACTGATAGTAATGGTGACAGGGACAACAAAGAGGAAAAGAAAAAGTGGTAAGACATGATGAGAGACTAAAGTATATTTATTGAATAGGGTTGAATCAAAGTGTGTGGAGTATTAGAGAAAACCTGGATTTCAGTTTAAGTATTTAGAATGCAATTGTATAGTTTCTAGATAAGATACTGCCACATTATTTCTTTTAATACTTATAATTTCAGTGATGTTTTGGAATTCATTAGTGGTTTTAGTTTTTAGCTTTAAGTTTTGCTTCTTGAAAATACTTATGTAATTTAAAACAGTTTATATCCCTAAATTAATTTATACCTAGGACACTCACTTCTTGATGTTGTTTATCTTTGTCAGACAGGTGTGATCATCTTCACCAGATTATTTCCTGTATTCTTAGAGCAAAGCAACTTTATTAAAGACCACAGTTTTATTAATATAGCATGTTAAAGGCTTCTAAGGGACCTCTTTGATCCTTTTATCACTTCTGTACAATTATAAAAACTGCTGCATGCAAGGCACTAAACTGTCAGAGGTGATTGACATAGGAGCTTAACAGAATCCTAGAGGAGAAGAAAAAAGAAAGGAAAAAACTCATGCTTTTCCTATCCTATAGAGATTAGTATAAGAGCCAAAAGAAAGGTATAAAACATTAGAGAAATAGTAAGGAAAAGAAGAGAATATTCATTCAGTAATCTTATCTTGCGTAATTTTTTTCATATTGGCCTTTCTTTAAAAAATCTCATCAGTTCTGTTCTGATTGCCTACCTTTAAATAATCTGTTGTTTTATTTTTTTGTTTTGGTCTCAGTATTACATTCATACTTACTACTTACTACTGAAATCTTTTAAATCTTGACTAATTTTCTATGCACTCTGATTTATTACTGTGTAGGAAAGCTGTATATAAATAATATATAATTAAATGGTAGTTTGTATATATAAATTATAAATGATATGAAAAAGTCTTGTGGGGTTTTTAGATATTTTCATGAAGGAAGTCCAGCTCCTTATTGAACACTGGGGAAAGTGCACAGTTTAGATTGGCATTAAAACTGAAGGAAGTATTGCAGGCAGTAGGAAATAGTTTGAATTGAAGCACAGCAGAAGGAAATGAGCTGGACAAGAAATGTAGAGACAGAATAGAATAGGAATGGAATGTGTGGCTGACTCTTAGAGGAACCTGAATGGGGATTTCAGACTTGATACAATAAATACTACAGTGTCAGTGATAATGCTGAAAGCTTCACCGGTGTTTTAAGTACAAGTTGTAAAAAAAAAAGTGATGATAGCAAGAGGGAAAAAATTGTGGAAATGAAACCAGTTTATGTGACTTGCTCTAAGATAGATGTTCTTTACTGAGGCATTCAAATGGAATTTAGCCCATTTTTTTCTTTTGCCATTTATATTTGAAGATTTTGTGAAGAGTTTCTATTCTGGTTATAATTTACTGAAGAGGGAGGGAAAAAAGTGAATCTGGAAGTTGGAGGCATGAATGTTGATATTTTGGTTTTAAATATGTTTTAATTCAAGTGAAGGTGAGCTGTTTTCATGAAGATAGATATTCAGTGGGTTTGATCTTTAGATGAGCGATATATCAGATACTTGGGGGAAGTATCAGGAAAGAGACATAGTAGTTAAGCCTTTCAATTAAATGTGGTGTCATGCTATAGGATGGGAAGACTCAGAGGGAAATGGTAAGGACTGAGACAAGGGGAGTTTGCAACAGTTTGGTTTTAGGAGGAATAAGAGGATTCAGTGAAGAAAACAAAACTTGTGAGAATCAAGTGTCTTCTGCAGTTGTCAGGGATTAACAATTTTTTTTGTTAATCCTCACCAGATGATATTTTCCCATGATTTTTAGATAGACTGGAAGGGGAGGAGGGAGGAGGAGAAAGAGAGAGAGAAACATTGACTTGAGAGAGACACATTGATTGGTTGCCTCTCACATGACCCTGACCAGGCCGGGGCTTGAACTTGCAGCCCAGCTATTTGCCCTTGGCAGAGAATCGAACCCTCGGACCCTTTGGTCCATGGGCCAACTCTCCAGCTGCTGAGCCAAATTGGCCAGGGCAACAGCTTTTTTTCTTATTTGATTATTGTCTTAATGTTTCCAAATAAAGGAAAAGTTACTGTATTTTGTGTATCTTCAAGGGTTAAAAATGTTAATAAGAGCCAGGCTGGTGTGGCTCAGTGGTTGAGCATTGACAAATGCACTAAGAGGTCGCTGGTTCCATTTCAGGTCAGGGCACATGCCCCGGTCGTGGGCCTGATCCCCAGTGGGGGGCATGCAGGAGGCGTCCAATCTATGCTTTCTCTCATCCATGTTACTCTCTCTCTCTCTTCCTCTCCCTTCCTCTCTCTAAAATCAATAAAGAAAAAAAATATTTTTTTAATGTTAATAAGAGATGATCACTGTGATTTTCTATCAGTACTATCTCAGTATGCATATATCTGAGAATTTAATTCTGATTTTTTTTTACTAGGTATCAATCTTTAGAAAACAGTCATATCAAAAAGTATATATCGGGGCCCTGGCCAGTTTGGCTCAGCGGTTAGAGCGTCGGCCTGCGGTCCGGAGAGACCCGGGTTCGGTTCCCGCTAAGGGCACGTACTTCGGTTGCAGTTTGTCCCCGGCCCTGGTTGGTCGTGCGGGTGGCAGCCACTCGATGTGTCCCTTCACGTCGATGTTTCTCTCTCTCTCTCCTTCCTCTCTCTCCCTCCCACTCTATCTGTACAAAAAATGGAAAATATCCTCGGGTGAGGATAAAAAAAAAAAAAAAAAAAAAAGTATATATCGGAATTGTGTCTTAGAAGTCAACAGCACCATATTAATGTTGGACTTGTCTTATCTAAAATGTGCAATTCATATTGTAAAGAATATTACTTTCGTTAGTGATTTGAGGAAATCTTTTTCATTTATTTTTGTTACAACTTTTTAGCTTAGTTTTTGAGGGAAATTCTAAGTAACACTGATTTGTATTTAGCTTATTGGTTATAATTATAAATTCTTGAAGACACACATTTTAGATGAAATCGGACTTATATAAGTATTTGCTTTTTAAAGTACTACGATCAGGATTATCAGATTCTGAATTAGTGGAGTTAGAGTTAATAAGGTTACAAAGGATTTTCATTCTGGTTGATTTTTACTCACAGCTTTGAAATCACACCTTGTTTGTTGGTTTCTTCAAGCTATACTTCCCAGTAAAATTTATCTTATAAAATGACTCATTACATTTTGAATCCTTAGTCAAGAAAGTGAAAATTATTGACAGATTGTTAGTGTAACATTTCCCCTTTCTAGAGAGCCTTTTTCCCATGATAAATGTCTTACAAATCCAAATTAGAATAACCCCACGTGCTTTGATCAGTCCTACTGTTTATTATGTGATTGCTGATACTGTTTAGATATTGTATAGATGAGCCAGTAGATGTTTATTAAACTAGAAAATTAATTTAGCTTGGATAAGCATTTTGCCTTGTTCTTAGTTGTTGGTCCTATTGATACTTTTTTTTTTTTTTTCATTTTTAAGGATAATGTCTTTTGGTGCTGAGAATTTTATGTCTGTGTGTATGTACATGTAAATGCGTATATATACATGTATGTATTTCTCATGCACTTTATGCAAGCTTGCTTTTATTCCTTATTTGTTCTGGCATGTATCCTTCAAAACCCACTTCTAACCCTCCTAAGGCTAATCACTTTTTTTTAAGGAACTCATTTTTTTTTTTTTTTAATTGATTTTAGAGAGAGGAAGGGAGAGAGATAGAAACGTGGATGAGAGAGAACATCAATTGGCCGCCTCCTGCATTCCCCCCATTGGGGATTGGGCCCACAACCTGGGCATGTGCCCTGACCAGGAATCGAACTGGGGACCTCATGGTGCATGGTCAACGCTCAACCACTGAACCACACCGGCTAGGCTTAAGGAACTCATTTTTGAACTCATTATACTACAAATTAATTCTACTTTGTCAAATTATTTAGATAATTTAAAGTTTTAAAAGTCCTAGGATCTTTGCATTCATGTCTTTAATATCCATCATTAATGTCATTAAGTCTAAGTGTGTTTATGAGTAGATTTAAAAAACAAAACATATAATTTTCCCCTTTTCACCCATGACTACCTTTTAGTTGCATTGCTAACACATAAGCATGATACATTTTAAGATAGACATAGTCCCAAACCAGATACTTGTTAATGAATATGGAGTGTGTTTTAGTGGGAGGGGGTGCATTATAATTTGTACTTGGTGTCTGTTGCATTTCTTTGCAGACATTTCAAATCCTTTTCTTCCTGTTTCTCATCATGGTGGCTTTATATACAAATAGCCCTGACTGGTTTGGCTCAGCGGTTAGAGCGTCGGCCTGCGGCCCAGAGAGACCCGGGTTTGGCTCCCGCTGAGGGCATGTACCTCGGTTGCAGTTTGTCCCCGGCCCTGGTTGGTCGTGCGGGTGGCAGCCACTTGATGTGTCCCTTTCACGTCGATGTTTCTCTTTTTTTTTTTCTCTCTCTCTCACTCTCCCTCTCACTCTATCTGAACAAAAAATGGAAAAAATGTCCTCGGGTTAGGATAAAAAAAAATAAAATAAAATGTCAGCTATAGGTAAAATGAGTGATGATAGTATTGAGACTTTTGTTTATGGAATTTAATATAACTTTGTTATAGAGTGTATTTTCTTTCCTCTTGTGAATGTGTAATAATGTTATTTTATGGGTTTTGTTGCATGGTAGAGACTAAAATACTGTAGCAAAATAACTTTTAAAATTTAACTTTTATGAAGGTCATAGATGTGCCAGAAAATGCTTAAAATAATTTATATTAGATTTTAACATCATTTTAATGTTAAAAGTTTTTATGTTAGTATAGTGTTAGAAGTCTAATCTTGGTACTTACTATTTATGAAATAGAATTAACTTTCATACCAGTAATAGAACCTTATGTTGAAGGTTCAGATTAGAGAAAATCTTCTATTAATTACAATTTTGACCTAATTTATTTTTATTGATTTGTTTTAGATCAGAATTACAAAAGCAGAATCACTACATTGTATATATTGCTAATATTAATAATTAATATAGTTTTTGACAGTTTGATAGTTAAAGGTACTTCCTATGAAGTGATACTTGTATGTATTTAACCATGCAGATCCTCATTTTGTGGTCTGCCAGCTGAAGGTGAAGATATACTCCTCCAGCTCAGGACCCACGCGACGGGAGGACAAGTCCATGTACTTTGAGTTCCCTCAGCCGTTGCCTGTGTGTGGTGACATCAAAGTAGAGTTCTTCCACAAACAGAACAAGCTAAAAAAGGTTTGCACTTTACTTTTATTGGGAAAAATATTCAAAATAACTATACCTTGAATAGTAACCTCAGATCTTTTGCGTAAAGCATTTGGTTAGGCAGAAATCAATCTGTAAGGAGGGATTGAAAAGTTTATTTTATTTTATGACTGATATCTAATGAATATAATACGTCTTTTATTAGATTTGCACGTGCTATGGCATTGATAAGCCATTATAATGGTAAATAATCCTGTTAGAAGAGAAAGGCCATGACCTTTTAAAGTCATATGTAATTTGAGATGAATTTTAATTTGGGTTATACAAAGAAATTTTATAAAAGTATTCAAGATTGTATACATACTCCATGCAATCAGTTATAATCTTATTAGAAGGATGATTAGTTATTACCTGAGAAGAAGTTAATATGGGATCATGAGTTTCAAATGAATTTGGTCTGTTTGTATAAATAAGATCTATTTCATGGTCTTGTGTAATGACACAAACCGCTTTCCCCCATTTTGTTCTGTTTCTTACAACTAGGTCATTTTATATTTAGCTTCCTCAAATTTACTGAGTACTTCGATGTTTAGCTAGGAGAGAAATAAGTATGAAAAGGAAGTAATAAAGAATGAAAAAAATGTGGTATTATTTAAATATATAGGTTTAGAAAAGTGAGGTTTGCATCTTATTGAGCTATATTTAGAAAATGTTAAGAACTCATTTTAAAACAGACAATCTGGTTTTAAAATATAAGTGAACATTTAAGGTTAACCTGACGTACAACATTTTTAAGTGGTGATAAACAAAAGCACTAGCTTCTGTATATTGTTATTACATCATTAAACATACTTGATAGCATATTGCCAATTTTTAGACATTTTCAGCAATAGGATTGATTTAGTTTTCCTGCTTTTTAGCTTTTTTTAAAAAGAAAATAAGGGGAAGATTCATTTACTACAAAAATTTTAAACTCTACTTTGACTTAATAGAATTAATATAATTTTCTTTATTTAGAATCTAAGTAGTTAGGATATCACAAAATGTTAAACTGATTTTATTTTCACCAGAAACCCGTTTCTTACCTATTCTATATAAATATATCTCAATAACTTTGAAAATTATTTTTTAATAATCCAAGAAATATTAGCTAATGTTCTATAATAAAGGTAGTTCTTTTCCCTTCTATTCATTGTAAGACAAGTACACTTAAAATACTATATTTTGCTTTTAAAAACAGGTACTTGAATCACTGTTTCTCTACACCTTCAGGAGTGTGCTAATTCTTATTTTAGTTATTACCACCTGTGCATTACATTAACACATGTGAAATTGAAAATTAGATTAAATATTTATAATATATGTGTATCTTGGATTACTTACATGCTTTCCCATTTTATGTGATTTTTCTCCCTTCCTGTTATAAATGTTTGCAGTGATTTAAACAAAAACAGATTTAGTATAATCAGTGTATATATATGGAATTCACATTTTTGGAAATTTAAATGTTACTAGCTTATTTTTTTCTGACTAAGTAAAATATATGTGTAATGACTTTGTTAAAAATAATTAAAATTAACAAATATTTTAAAAAAGACATTGCTTAGGTACTGTTAAAAGATACAAAGACATTTAATATGTAAATAATTAGGAGTCTTACTATCTTCCTCGAGGGGAAAATAACTTAAAGATAAATTAGAATAAAATATTTAAATGGCAATATAAGCACCAGCTAAGGTGCCACAAGGCTGTACATAATTAATTGTCAAATAGTCCATGCAGACCAAATTCTAGTAAGAGAACATTTTCTTTGTTGGTCAAGAATGGCTTGAAGTGATACTTCTAATGTTTTTGATTAACAAGACCTCATATGATTAGTAAGAAGTGATTCCTTAAAAACAGGCATTTTATAACATAAGAAAAGTCTGAAGTACTTACTCTCTCCCCTCCATATTTTATTAGGAAGTTTTGGAAGCATTCATTGTTATTTAAGAAACTAAGGCTGCTCAATGTTTGTATTGCTGTAGCAGTAAAAATGTTTCTGCCTTGCTTCATTGGGAAGTTGTGCTGATATTTCAAGAACTTATGTTAAAGTAAATTTTGCAATTGATAGCTTATTGAAACAGAGGAAATTAAATCCCTTTCTGAATTCTTAAATATATACATACAAAACTCAAAACATTTATTGAAGGCTAATGTTAGACTAGAAAGGAGATATTTTACTTAAGGTTTTAAGGCAAAAGTAAGTTATCTTAGAACTTGTGGAAACATTTTTGGTTTAAAATTTGAAGAGAAGAAAAATCATATGTGAATTAGGTACAACAAATAACCCACAGGTTGCTAAGTATTAGTCTTTATGTTTACCTTTATTCAAAATATTAAATGACACATGTCTTATTTTGTTGACTTCTTGTGGCAGATGTGGAATATAGGTAACATATTTTCTTTTAAAAAAATGTCATTTTTATTTTTTAGGACAAAATGTTTCATTTTTGGGTAAATACATTCTTCATACCAGGACCAGAGGAAACCTCAGAAAGAGTAGAAAATGGAAGTCTATGTGATCAAGAAACTGATAGTATTTGCAGTATAGAGCGAGCAGATAATGACAAGGAATATCTAGTACTCACTTTAACAAAAAATGATCTCGACAAAGCAAATAAAGACAAGGCCAATCGATACTTTTCTCCAAATTTTAAGGTCAGTTAAAAACATTTTGAAGAGTTGTGGGTTGTGTGTGTGTGTGTGTGTGTGTGCTAGGTATATAGCTAGTGAAGGGCTTGCTTAACTAATTTTTAAATTAAATTATTATTTAGAAGTAATATTTATGTAGCAGCAATCTGATAGTTTCTCACAAAACTCAAGATGTACAAAAAGTCATGAAAACTGTACTGTATTTTATTCTTTGGTGAAATTTGAGGCAGAAGTTGGGGAGGAGTTAAGTGGGATATAAAGGAGAAATGGAGGGAGAAAGAGAACTTGACCATTTGGGAGTGATTCATCTGGAATGTTCTCACTGGTTTTACTTTTGCACCCCTCCAATTTATTCCCAGCCCCTCAGAGTGACCGTAGAAATAGACTTGATTGCGTCACTCCAGTTTACACTTTTTAAAGATGGTGTGGTCTTGCTATGCCCTACAAGGACCTGCATTGTTTAGCGCAGGCCTACCTCCTACATCAACTCAAGACACATTCTCCCCCTGTTCCCTGAGATTCACCCATATTGGTCTCTTAATTTCTTCAAAATGCTAAGCTCTTCTTCCTCTGGTATTTCCAGTTCTTTTCCTTCTGCCTGTCCTTCATCTTCAGCCTTTCCTTTACCCTTCACATGCATTCCCTTCCCACATTCTAGTCTGGTCTTCAATTTTATATGGCCTGAAAGGCTGCCTCTGATCATCCTCCCCTGTTCATGCCTTTCTAAATGTGTTTCCTCTTACTGTGGAATTATTTGGTTTGTTTTAATTTCATTTATTAGTGATGTGGTGTGTGTGTGTGTGTTTCTGTGTGTTTCTGTTTCTATGTATAGGTAAGACTTCTCCAGGTTTCCAAATGGAGGTTTGACATTTTTTTCTTTTCTATTTTGTACTTGATTTGACTTCCTTCCCTTTGACTATACTCTCCTCTTTCTCTTTTTAAAAATTCTCTTTTTTTTTTTTTGCTTCATTTCATTTTTATAATATAACAAACTTAACCATAGCTTAAAAGTTATACATGGTGCCCTGGATGGTTTGGCTCAGTGGTTAGAGTGTCAGCCTGCGTACCAAAGAGTCCCTGGTTCGGTTCCCACTAAGGACACATACCTTGGTTGCAGTTTGTCCCTGGCCCTGGGTAGGGTCATATGGGTGGCAGCCATTTGATGTGTCTCTCACATCGATGTTTCTCTCTCTCTCTCTCTTCCTCCCTCTCTCCTTTCCACTCTATCTGAAGATAATGCAAAAAATGTCCTCGGATGAAGATTAAAAAAAAAAAAAATTATACATGTCTTTTTGACTGCACAGGGGTTGGTGCTTCCCCTGTGTCATTCCAGGATCAGCTGTTTATGGTATTTTAAAGATAGAGCTAAAAGGATTACTGATGGAGTGAATGTTGGATGTAAGAGAAGCATTGATGATAAGTTGTGGATAATGTGGGGGAGAGGCTGTAGATAAAATAGAATGAGCAAAGGATTCTAAGTCAGATCTAATTTAAATACCACATCCACTACCTACTAGAGATGTGGTCTTCAGCAGGTTACCTAATCTCTCTGGGCCTTAGCTTCCTGTACTTTAAATGGAACTATCTTGTAGAGCTGTTTTGACAATTATTTCAGCTAAGCTTGTAAGGGCCCTTGATCATCTATTTAGACCACTGTATGCTGTTAACTCTTTTTTTCCTGCCTTCAGGTGAATTTTTTAGGGCTAATGGGATCTTAAACATCATTGTTGATCAGTATTTTATAGTGTAATATTTGTATTTGTTTAGTATTTGTATTTGTTTGTATCAGAAAATACATTGAGTTTAAGATAGGTAGTAAGTGAAACATTCTTTTGTAACTCAACTATTAGTGAATTGAATTTTTGATTGAAAATATATTTTGCGAACTACTGATGAACTTCATTGTCAGTGTATTTCTTTTGTATATTTAGTTAATGCTTGAAGTTTTATGCTTATTAAAAAATATATTAACATCCCAGTTTATCTTTTCAGCATATAAGAAAGACAATATAGGAAATTTTAAGAGGGGGTCATTTAAAAGGCAGCTGCCTTTTAAAGATTATGTTTGTCATAGTACTTAAAAATAAATCTGCTACCCTGGCTGGTGTGGCTCAGTGATTAGAGGGTCGGATCTCAGGCGAAGAGTTGTGGGTTCGATTCCTGGCAAGGGCATGTACCTGAGTTGCAGGTTTGGTTCCCAGCCCTGGTTGGGGTTGTGCTGGAGGCAACCAATCGCTGTCTCTCTCTCTCATCACTGTTTCTCTCTTGCTCTCTCTCCCTCCCTTTCATCTTTCTACTCTCTCTTAAATCAGTAGAAAAAATATCCTCAGTTGAGGATTAACAACAAAAAATCTGATAAAAATAGATATCTATATACTAAGTAATTTAAGATTAGTCAGATTTATGGATTTTCCATTTAAACTTTCTCTTTTTTCTCTAGGTGAAGCTGTATTTCACAAAAACAGTAGAGGAGCCATCAAATCCAGAGGCTAGCAGTTCAACTTCTGTAACGCCAGATGTTAGTGACAATGAACCTGATCATTATAGGTATTCTGACACCACTGACTCTGATCCAGAGAACGAACCTTTTGATGAAGATCAGCATACACAGATTACAAAAGTCTGAATTTTTTTTATCAAGAGGGATAAAACACCATGAAAACAAACTTGAATAAACTGAAAATGGACCTTTTTTTTTTTTTTTTTTTTTTTTAATGGCAATAGGACATTGTGTCTGATTACCAGTTATAGGAACAATTCTCTTTTCCTGACCAATCTTATTTTACCCTATACATCCACAGGGTTTTGACACTTGTTGTCCAGTTGAAAAAAGGTTGTGTAGCTGTGTCATGTATATACCTTTTTGTGTCAAAAGGACATTTAAAATTCAATTAGAATAAATAAAGATGGCACTTTCCCATTTTATTCCAGTTTTATAAAAAGTGGAGACAGACTGATGTGTATACGTAAGGAATTTCTCATTTTGTGTTCTGTCACCAACTGAAGTGGCTAAGGAGCTTTGTGATGATACACAGGTTCACATCCTACCCCTTTGCACTTGTGGCAACAGATACGTTTGCAGTTGGCTGGAGGAGTTTCTAAAGGGTTTTGCTACATTCTAATGCATGTATTTGGGTTAGGGGAATGGAGGGAATGCTCAGAAAGGAATATATTTTATGCTGGACTCTGGACCATATGACATCTCCAGCTATTTACACGCACCTTTCTTTAGCATGCTACAGTTATTAATCTGGATATTTGAGGAATTGGCCGCTGTCACTGCTTGTTGTTTGTGCATTTTATTATTTTTTTAAAGCATATTGGTGCTAGAAAAGGCAGCTAGAGGGAGTGAATCTGTATTGGGGTACAGGAATGAACCTTCCACGACATCTTAAGAATCCACAAATGAAGGGATATAAAAATAATGTGGTCATAGATAAGAAACACAGCAACAATGACTTAACCATATAAATGTGGAGGCTATCAACAAAGAATGGGCTTGAAACATGATAAAAATTGACAATGATTTATTAAATATGTTTTCTCAATTGTAACGACTGCTCCATCTCCTGTGTAATCAAGGCCAGTGCTAAAAGTCAGATGCTATTACCTACATCAGTCAACAACTTACACATATTTTATTAGTTTTCAATTATATACCTGCTGTGGATGCTTCATGTGCTGCCTGCAAGCTTCTTTTTTTCTCATTAAATATAAAATATTTTGTAATGCTGCACAGGAAATTTCAATTTGAGATTCTACAGTAAGCAGTTTTTTTTTTTCTTTAAGGGTTTTATGATGCACTTACTCAATCCAATAGCCGTCAACCGTTCCACCCTTTTGACCTTACACATTCTATTACAATGAGTTTTGCAGTTTTGCACATTTTTTAAATGTCATTAACTGTTAGGGAATTTTACTTGAATACTGAATACATATAATGTTTATATTTAAAAGGACATTATTTGTGTTAAAAAGGAAATTAGAGTTGCAGTAAATTTCAACACTGCACAAATAATAAGGCATTTACTTTTTCAGTAGAAATTGTCCCACATAATGCTTTTAACGATTTCCTATTGACAGAATAGATTTTTTTTTGTAATGTGCAGTGTTGAATTATTTCTTCATAGTGCTAGAGTTAGGACTAGGGCTTCTTTTCACTTCCTAAATATCATATATTTGATATGCCCAGACTGCATACCATTTCAAGCAGAGTACAACTACTATTGTAAAGCGAATGTGAAGATATTAAAAAGAATTTTTTTCCCAGAAATTTGATGTCTTTCGAATAGTACCTTGACCTTGAAACATTTGAATATCCAGCCAACTTATTTCTTAATGGTGTAAAATCTCATTTTCAATAACTTATTGGTGCTGAAATTGTTCACTAGCTGTGGTCTGACCTAGTTAATTTACGAATACAGATTGCATAGGACCTATTAAAGCAGCATTTATAGGGTTTGATGGTAAATAGTTTAGGCAGAACTTCATCTAAAATATTCTTAGTAAATAATGTTGACATGTTTTCCATACCTCGTCAGTTTCATTCAACAAATAAAATTTTTAAATTTTTAACAAAACTCTTAGGATTTACACATTTATATTTACACATTGATACATAGAGAATTGACTGCTCATAAATTAAATTGGTAAGGTTAGAGACAACTCTTCCTAAGATCCCATTGAAATTTTTACGCCACCTTGTCTTTCCTGAAAGTTGAAAATTGTTGACTAAGTTAAAATCAACCATTGATGTTTTGAAGATCGTCATTAATACTGTTATTTGTTACAGTTTTGGGCACAGTATATTAAATCATAACTTGTATTGTTCCGATATGTAACATGGAGGGCCAGGTCATAAATAATGACATTATAATGGGCTTTTGCACTGTTATTATTTTTCCTTTGGAATGTGAAGGTCTGAATGAGGGTTTTGATTTTGAATGTTTCAATGTTTTTGAGAAGCCTTGCTTACATTTTATGGTGTAGTCATTGGAAATGGAAAAATGGCATTTTATATATATATTATATATATATAAATATATATTATACATACTACTCTCCTTTATTTCAGTTACCATCCCCATAGAATTTGACAAGAATTGCTATGACTGAAAGTTTTTGAGTCCTAATTAAAACTTTATTTATGACAGTATTCATAATTAGCCTGAAATGCATTCTGTAGGTAATCTCTGAGTTTCTGGAATGTTTTCATAGACTTTTTGGATGTGCAGCTGCTTACATGTCTGAAGTTACTTGAAGGCATCACTCTTAAGAAAGCTTACAATTGGGCCCTGTACCATCCCAAGTCCTCTGTAGCTCCTCTTGAACATTTTTGCCATAATTATTAAAGAGTAGCTGAGTACATAGCATCACCATTCTTTGCTGTGGCACAGGTTATAGACTTAAGTGGAGTTTACCGGCAGCATCAAATGTTTCAGCTTTAAAAAAATAAAAGTAGGGTACAAGTTACATGTTTAGTTCTAGAAAATTTGTGCAATATGTTTCTAACGATGGCTGTGGTTGCCACAAAGTGCCTCGTTTACCTTTGAATACTGTTAATGTGTCATGCATGCAGATGGAAGGGGTGGAACTGTGCACTAAAGTGGGGGCTTTAACTGCAGTGTTCGGCAGAGTTGCCTTCTACCCTGCCAGTTCAAAAGTTCAATCTGTTTTCATATAGAATATATATACTAAAAATTTTCAGTCTGTTAAACAGCCTTACTCTGATTCAGCCTCTTCAGATACTCTTGTGCTGTGCAGCAGTGGCTCTGTGTGTAAATGCTATGCACTGAGGATACACAAACACGTGTACAGAATAATGCCTCATACAAATCCGATGTCCATTTGTTATTGTGTTTGTTAACAACCCTTTATCTTTAGTGTTATAAACTCCACTTAAAACTGATTAAAGTCTCATTCTTGTCATTGTGTGGGTGTTTTATTAAATCAGAGTATAATTTAAATGGCTTAAATTTGTTGAAATTTTAAATAATGGGCAGCCAATGTGATTAGTAAGTTTTCTATAATTTATTTTTCCTGCTGTCCTTCACAGACTACAATTATTAAAACATGGGCATTGTCAGCTTGGGAGTAGAGTATCACGTTTGAGAATGGCAGTTTTTAGGGCTTTAGTCAACACTTAATAAATTGTTTCAAGCACAGTACATTACATAACTATAATCTTGAAAAACTTTAAAATTCTTGAAAAATTGTGCTTTTTATATTTTTTTAACTAAGCCAGATGTCTACAGATAATTCCCCAGAATGGGTTTTATACTTTAGATTTCAATTTGTGGCTTTTTCCTTCTTTATGATTCTGTAGTCTGCCATCAACATATGGGAAGCTTCATCTACTCATTGTAAATAGTGCCATTTAAAAATTGATGTTCCAGAAGAGTTTAAAGAACTTGGTGTACTTGAATTCAAACTTGTTATTTCTAATATTCTTAAAAGCTTAAAGACTAGGACATATCCTTTCAACAAAGCATAGTAAGGTAATAAGTAATGTTTTGAAAATAAAGTAGACCATTTATGTAACAGTGGAATTGAATGTTATTTCATGTTTACATTTTCTCCATGTGACTTTAAAAGTAAATGTGAATAATGTATAATATGAAGAAGTATGAAAAGTGTGTATATACACATTTTTTTTCCTTTTTAAATATGGTTGAAAACTATACTGGAGTCAGAAATTATTCTGATTTATAAGATCTTGGTGATTTCTGAAAAATAGGAATTTACTGGCAGTTTTGTTTTTATTTATGCTCCTACTACAGTGTAATTTGAGCTAGCTTAGTTAAGTGAATGCCATCACCATTTCCATTGAGAATTAAAAAATCACCAGTGTTTAACATGCAGGCTTCCAAAAAATCAAGACCCTTAAATCTAGTTGATTTGCTGCTAACGTGAGACATTTTTCTTTTACTCTTGCCAGACCATTAACCACACTTCTAAAACTTAAATAGTTTAAGTATAAGTTTTGATTAGCAGTGCTGTCACTACTACAGAGAAAAATGTTTGTCAGTGGAAACAATAAGTATTCAGTCTGAACTGGTATAAGGGCAGTACCTAAAAATTGGCAAAAAAGATAATAGAGAAATATTTTTAAACTTTTAAAGATGAAATGTTAGAGACTGGTTTTCCTATGGAATTATATAGCTATAGTAAGTCTAATGATTAAGTTGTCAGTTGTTTTCAATTTTAGAGCAAATTCATTCTTTTATGACCATGATGTTGCTGTTTTCCCATCTTTCAAGAGGTCTTACAAGTATATCGGAATGTGGGTATTCACAGACAGATTCATATTGGTCGGTAGCTTTAAAAGTTTGTAATGTGAAAACAGGAGAGGACAAAATAGTTTTGTTGGTGGTAAGACATTTGGTTTGTAGTTATTTTGAGAATGTTTTCCCATAACTATAACAAAATAATCACTCAATCCCACCGCCTGGAGACATAGCCATCAGTAATACTTTAGTGACTGTACAATCATTTTTTTCTGTATATTCATATATATTTTCTTTAAAAATGAAATTTGTACGGTGCATATTCTCAAAGTATTCGAGTATTTCATAGATTTGTAGAATGTGCGGTTACATCAGGAAATGGACTGTGGCTTGATTCTCATGCTCCAGATGCAGATTATGTGCAGTTATCGAGAGCCCTTTCCAATTAAGTGAGTTAATCATGAGTGTTTAAATATTGTTGGCATCAGGATGATCTATGTCTAAGTAAATAAAACAGTCACATTTACTTAGCATACACAAGCTTAACACTGTAGATATTTCTCACTAGACACCATTTTAAACATTTGCCTATTATATGCTAAATAGATTAATAAGAATATGTGAAACACTGTATTAGTAGTCATCTTCATCACCTTTCTATTTCCCTTATATGTGGGGAAAGAAGGATGAAATTTTAAGTTTTTATAATTCTCAAGTTGCTTAATCTAGAGTGAGTTATTTTAACACCTTTTTAAAAAAGCAAGAGCTACTGCTGGTTTATCACTTCGTTGTCTAAATCTGTGTGCTCAAGTGACTTCCATCACATCACAAACAATAGTTCATGAAAGTTTCACTTTTTACTCTGGAACATATGTTTGGTATAATGGTGGGCCTGTACCAGAACATACAACTTGACAGTTACTTGAGAATTTTGGTGAAGAACAATATAGCTGGAGGGCAGTACCTAACTTAGAAGCCAACGTTTTGGTATTTTCAGAACATTTTTACAGAAGTGAAGTCAGCTGCCATCTTTGAGCATTACCACATTTTAAAACAAAGCTGCATGTTTTTAATGAAGTGTTAAAGGATTTATATTTTCTTAATTAAAAGTAATTTATTTCTCTTGTTGCATGTGGATTTTCATTTGTCTTTAAAATGGTCAGAGATGTTGTTTCTGGAATAGAGCAAGGCTTGTAGTCGTGGCTCTAGCGTGTCCGTTTGTGAACTCTGTTTACTGTAGTGAAATTCTTAAAATGGTTAGGTGTGGCTTTCTGTAGCCTGTCATTTATTGGCTTTTATTTATGTGCACCTTTAGGATTTTCTGCCTACTCTGTACCGTTGTCCAAATGATATCCCACATTTACAAATCCCCCTTCGGTTTCTATTTTCTTTTACTATTTAAATTGCCCTTGTGGGCAGTTTGTGTGTGTGTGTGTGTGTGTGTGTGTAAGAGAGAGAGAGAGAGTGAGTGTGCTAGACTCCAACTTTAGAAATTAAAATAGTTTGATTCAGGCAAACAATTCTCACTGGAAGTTCACAGTTCATTGTAATGAAAATGTTAACCCTGGATGACTTTTGACATACAGTAATGAATCTTGGCTATTAATGGGTTTGTTAGCATCTTGATGTGTGCATTAATAAGTTATTTTCAAAGTTGTGCATTTAACCAAAGTTGGTGTATTGAAAATGTTTATATCAAGTTCCATTTGGCTACTGATGGACATAAAAAAGAATAGAAATGCTTTTTATGGAGAGTATTTTTTCTTTAACAAATTAAAAGAATAATTATTTTTAATAATTGGTTTTTAACTTTTTTTATTCAGCAAGTATGTATCAAGTCCCTGCTATATATAACAGATTCTTGGAATATATTAGTGATCAAAACAGACACTCTTTCTTGCCCTTGAGGAGTTTCCACTTTAGTAGATAAAGACTTTTTAAAAATAATTATAAATTGTGATACATGCTGTGAAATATGAGATGCATATGTTGCAGTAATTATAACCAAACATTCCATATGCTTTCTTAAATTTCCACCTCCTTGAGGTTAGATGGGGCTATTATAGTTTATTCCAATGAAAGTTATGCAACATTTCTGAGGAAAGGCATTAAAAATAAAATTTCTTGTACAATCCTCTAGTTTCTCTCCTTCCTTAATGTGGTGACCAGCGACGACATGTTCTGGTCAGCGTGGGTCTTGAGTGACTATTTGGAGAATTCCCTCAAATTGTTTCCCTACATCCAATATGTTAGATATTAGCATGAGCAAGAAACAATTATATTAATTTACACTGATACTCTGGAATAAGTTGTTACCATAGCATTATTAATTATTTTCTAATGCTTTCGAAGGATCAGGGACAGATTTCTTGAGCAACCAACAGGGAGGTAAGAACAAAGCAAAAAAGTGACATCTATAAACATCATGCAATAAAGAAACTAAGTTAAAAGTCACTCAGTGGTTATTGAGATGCTTGGGATATGAATGGGCGAGCAGTAGATCCCTGCCTTCATGAAGCTTACCTTCTAATAAGAGATAATGAATGATAATTAACATACCATATATAAAGTAGTAAGTGCCGTGGGGGAGAAAATGTGGAAGAGGGTTTGTAGGGGTGGCCAGATTGCTGTATTGAACAGGACAGTCTGAAATAGGCCACACTGGGAAGGTGGAATGAACGGACCTGTCAAACGGTGTGAGAATGTTTTCAGCTTTCAGTGAGCAGGCAGCACTCATCATCCTCTATAAAGTTTTATTCTCACCTTTTGCAACTCTGTTAATTCCTGACTTAATAAGATTATTGGTATGTCTAGGGAGAATTTTTAAGAGAAGCACCCAAGATAATCACAATGTTCTAAAACCATTTTTTTTTTTTTCTAAACTAGTTTGGCCAAACCTACAAAAACTGTTCCTCCTCATTCTCAGAGTTCATTTAAAAAATTTTCTTACAGTCTTACCAAATGTGGTTATATTTGGAAAATCTTTGATACCGCTTTCAGCAGAAGTTAAAGTTCTGTCGTGGCCTGAAACATTTCTGTAAAGCAGAAGGGAAGTGTCATTTATGATTTATTGATGGGAAACAAATTACACATTTTGAGTTATTTGAAAAATGGGTGAAATTTATGTCCTAGGCCTATATTTTTAATTCTTAGTTCATGAACAGAAACCTCAGGAAAAGAATCAATATCTAAATAATAAAAGAAATACTTTTTTTCACGAAGAGAACCCCCCTTTCTACTCCATTTCAAGATCCAAGAAGTTGAACTTTGTGCTCGATGGAAAGTAGTATAATTGAATTGATTTAATACAATAGAAATTTGCAACTATTTATCAGGGCATGTTTCTTCGTCCCATCAGGGCAGGTACATATAGTTGAGCATGATATTTTGAAAGAAAATGTTAACTATTAGCTTTTAATTCTTACTCTTTAGGATTCTAAGTGATTTTAAAGCCATTTTCCTTGGCAATATTGCATCTTGCTTTTTACTCTGAGTCTAATGAAGCTTCTTTTTTTTTTTTACATTTTTTTTTCATTTTACTTTGCTTTAGAAAGAATTTGAGGTATAGCTCAATGGGATTCCTCAATGTGAGAAAAAATTGTCATGTAAATTTAGAAAAAAAATACCAAATATACCTTTGGTCCTGGCCTAAGGGTTAAACTTCACTTACTGAGAATGTCTCTTGAAACTACCTCATTGAAT